GCATCCATTTCTAGACGCGAATGCATTACTCCGTCTTGGCGGGCGGTTGCAAAACACCGCCCTAGTCTACGAAGAACAGCACCCGATAGTGCTTCTCGACATCACATCACTGACCTATTGATCCAGCGCGCTCACAAAGCCACGCTGCACGGTGGGACGCAGCTGGTTATTCTCACGCTACGTCAGCGATATTGGATCATCGGTTGTCGGAAAGCGGTGAAATCTCACGTGCACTCGTGCGTTACGTGCACGCGTCACTCCGCGATACCTTGCTCCCAACTCATGGGGGAGCTTCCCGCCGCTCGAGTTAATCCGTCGCCGCCGTTCGCACATACCGGCGTGGACTACGCCGGTCCATTTAATATTCTCCCGTTCGTCGGGCGCGGGCAGAAGACCCGAAAACATTACGTCGCTTTATTCGTCTGTCTGGCCACGCGAGCCGTGCACCTCGAGATGGTCGAGGATTATTCCGCTGACGGATTCCTGTCCGCGTTCCGCAGATTTTCGAGTCGCCGCGGGTTACCGCGTCACATGTACAGCGATAACGGCACCAACTTCCATGGCGCCGATCGTGAACTCCAACGGCAATTCCAATCAATGATGCACGATCCTGCGATACGGGATGCCATAGCCGTCGACAAAGTCGACTGGGAGTTTATCCCGTCGGCCGCTCCGCATTTCGGCGGCCTGTGGGAGGCCGGAGTGAAGAGCTTCAAAGGCCATCTGAGGCGAGCCATCGGGGCTCGCACGATCTCGCGGGCTGAATTTGCGACACTTCTTTGTCAGATCGAGACATGTCTGAATTCCCGACCGATTGCTGCTCTTAGCGACGACCCTAGCGATATGTCCGCGCTCACGCCCGGACACTTCTTAATCGGGCGACCGTTAATCGCCGGGCCGGAAGAGTCCGTACTCGAGATCAACGCGGATCGCCTTTCCCGCTGGCAGCTCGTCAGCTCCATGCGGGAGCAATTCTGGCGCGCCTGGTCGCGCGATTATCTGTCGTCGCTTCAGGCTAGAACCAAGTGGCGAACCGCCGCCTCTAATCTAAAGGTCGGTGAGCTGGTGATTGTGAAAAATCCCTTGCTCCCTCCGAGCAAGTGGGATCTCGCGAGGATTGAACGCGTTCACCCAGGGTCCGATGGACTCGTTCGCGTTGTTACAATCCGCTCCGAGCGCTCTCGCCTGAAGCAATCGATAACTCAGTTGTGCAAACTTCCGATAGATTGCAATCTGTCAGCTCCAGCGAACGACTGATCGCCTTGCTGAAGCTCTACG